CAATCAGTCTTTGTCGAATTTTCACTTAATTTTATCATGAAGCCGTATATGTATTCTGGGATAATGAAATACGTGCGAGCTCGAACAATGTAGTTAAAATTAAGCCGAGAGGAAAACAATTTCTTGCCGCTTGTAATTATTTCTATCCAGTATCATATATGATGTCATGCAATAGGGGGGAAAAAAAAACTATGAAACTATTGAAAAATCAATCGGAAATAGAATTTGGTACAGTTATCGATAATTCTGTGGATGTGATTGGTACAGTATTATTTCTCATTAATTTGTCGCGTAACAATTACGTAATAATTCTTATTACATTGCTCTGTTACGTAACATTAGTCTCTTAATTATTAAAAGATGAAAACAAATAGAATAGCGTTATTGATATTAGTTTTATGTAATGATCTTTAGTTTTTACATAATTAACAATAGTAATAAAGGACTCTTGATATTAATAAGAAATAAATATTAGGTGTTGGAATTAATTCGTAGCGTTTTACAAGTGATGGGAAGTACTTTCATCAATGTATTTTTTAATGCTCATGTGAAATAAATAACATTCTTTCATTAAAAAACGCTACGAATTAATTCCAACACCTAATATAATAATAGGACATATAAGAGTCAATATTGACTATCATTATATTTATTTCTTTACATAATCTTATATATGAATTTTAACAATAATATTTCCATTTATCGACGTAAGGAAAAAGTGTCTCCAATTCTCAGAAACCACGGAAAAAATATCTTATTTACAATGCATAACTTTCATTGATTAAATGAAGCTCACATTATGCTTTTCGTATTTATAAAGTATATGTGATTGATAAAAATCTCGTTAATGAAATCTCTGAATCCGCATTGTCAAAAATTTGCATAAGCATGTACAGGCGCATTTGACCTTGCAAACATGACAAAGAGAGAGAGAGAGAGAGAGAGAGAGAGAGAGAGAGAGAGAGAGAAAGAGGGAGGGGGGGCGAAAAAGGAAGGGATAGAGAAAATAAGAATTGCGTGCATTTTGTCGTACATATGTGCATTATGCAACGATGCTTGTTTCCTGGCGTAATTACGCGTTTTGAATTTATAAATGTTAATGAGGCATTCGTCTAGACATGGGTATCCTGCTCCAAATTGTTGCTTCAAGCGATGAATCTCTTTCATAAAAAAAAGAAGAAATAGGAAAATAGATTGTATGAGTATCATGGACGAGAAATTGCTAAATCAATAATTCAATGATTAGCATTATGAATCACGAAAAGAACATTTTATTATGATTATGCAATTATTATAAATATATTTTGATATGAGGGGGATTATATATATTTCACAATTTGGTGTGTGTGTGTGTGTGTGTGTGTGTGTGTGTGTGTGTGTGTGTGTATACATATATAATGCAAAAGTCGAAAAATCAATCTTTTATTTTATTAATAGTTGTTATCGTGTGGTTATATTAATTTGAATTTTGTATTGTATTGAATTATTAAATAATTTTATAATACATTATGAAATAATCTAGAAAGAAAAGCGTCATTCATTGTTTATCGATTTTATTCGTTTGTTGAATTAATAACTAGATTATGGAATGACCTGATAATGTAATCGCATATTGTATTGATTAGGCACGTATCGTTGTTCAACGAAACAACGTGTGATACATGCATAACAATCACTACTGCGACATTTTATCTGTCATTTTACCTATCCTTTGCATATTATCATGACGTAGCTTATCATCAAATATTCCCAGTTCTATTAGATTGTTTTAATTTATCGTATTATATTCAAACAATTAATCTTTCAAAGTGTGATATCTAACCTGATGATTTTGCGCTTTCATATCTTTTATATGTGAATAATATTATTCTTATTATTTTGCTTTGTACATGAATGATATTTTACAAAATGATGCGATGAAGCTTTTTTTTTAAACGACAAAAAAATAAACATCTCGTTTATTGCTTGTTTAATGTGTCTACTTTATCGACTACTCTCGCTTTCCTCTCTTCTAGTACCCGTCGTTTATCGACAGTAGGAGTACTTGATGTTTCCTGAGCCTGAAGAACTGTGTCACCGGCACAATCGAATGTATTGTACCAGAATTCCATATTCAGTGTATATACATTTTGTGAAGAATAATACGTTTAATAGAAAGAGAGAGCAACAATTTAAAAATAAAATAGAAAACATACGAGAAAAAATAGAAATTAAATTAGCTACATGCTATATCTGATATATGTATAAATGGAATAGCGACTTTTATCTTTTTTATTTACATTCTCTAAAAAAAACAGAAAGAATATATGAGTAATTTTAGGAATGTTAAATGATAAAATACCCATTTATAATTATATTGATATCTTTTATTTTGGAATAGTAGCATAAATATAGTTTGGAAATGATTCACATATTCTATAGAAACTGTTTTAAAAATAAAATATAGTATCACTTGGGTTTCATATTTTAATTTGGTACAATTTTTGTTCGAGGTGTGCATCTATATTTAACATTCTTTCTTATCAATTTTTTTAAAAAGGAAATTTTAAAATATACTCTGCAGTATCTGCTTTTAACGTTAATTAAAGTAATATTTTTTTTTAATTAAAGTGACAGGATGATTTGAGGCGATGGGCTTTAATGTTATAAATGGTACAAAGTGATGCATGGATAAATATACTGTGATTGGAGCAAATATTTATCAATGCTGATGTTGTATAGCTGCACAGACGATAGCATTATACATAATTCAGATCTTCGTGGCTTCGGTACTCCGCTATTGAATTTTTTCGTACAGTCGAAGTAACACACCGGTGTTCCAGTATCGACGGCCGCATACTCGACATTTCTTGCGCAAGCAGTCGTTTACCTTGCAACTCGAATGCACCGTGTAGGTTTGATCAATAAATTATGACCGCACGACCAACGTATTGTTCAGTAGAAACGAAAAAAACCAACAGAAAAATGAGAAAACAATATAATAAATATCTTGAAATGGGTCTAAGAATCGTGAAAATCGTGAAGATTTGATTCGATATGAGAGAAATGAAAATTGCAGGATGCATGAAGGTTGAACAGCGGGAGACTTTGTCGTAAGCTTGATTGAAACCGGAACAAAAAAGAAATACATCTTGCGATCGAAGAAGAAGGTCTCAGAAGATCAAAAGGCCGTTCATCACAAGGAAACTTTAAGTTTCATGCCTCTCCTTCACATTATGGATCGAGCACGTTATCCCATGTATTTGCAGAACATACGTTGTATCGCGATCATTTCTGTTTGCTATACGATAAAAAGTGCGATAGACGTGAAACTCTTTCGTCATAGTATGGCAAAATATATGGCGATCGTTTTTGTAGCTTCCAATATTTTTAGTTGAAGGGTTTTTCACAAAATCCAAATAAGTCCAAAAGGTTCAGTTCTCAGGAAACAAAAAACTTCTTACCTTCAAGCTGTACATTATATAAATATGTTAAAATATTGTAAATATTATAAAAGATTTTTTTCGGACATGTAGTAAATATATATAAGAACAAATAGACTTTGATTATTATTTTGAATATTAAAAAAAAATCTCTGGACTTGTTTGATTCTTGCTGAAATTTATATATTTAGGTACTGCCTATACTTATTCTATTATTATAATATTTTACGATAAAGCCAAAAACTAAGATATAATTTAAACGTAAAATAATTTTTTCATTTTTTATTTACAAAATTTTACCAATCGCGTTCTTAACAAAAACCTCTTGTAAATATTAAATTTTATCCATTTTTATATTTTCCGGTTTTTACCTGATTCTTGCCGGAAGAAAATTGTTCACGTTATGATGTTACTGATAAAGAACGATTTAATGCCATAACCCAGATTAAAAAAAAATGAATTTATTTGATTTTTGTAGGAAATCCTTCAGTTATTTCTTCGATGTATTGGGAAATTGAAAATCGCCACAAATCGAAAAAAAAAAACTTTGTAGAACAAACGAATTAATACGTTCTCTAAAACTGAGCTTTCCCCTGTCTTTGTGGATATAATTTTCGAATGAGAGATGAGAATAACCGTGGTGGAGAATAGTCGTCCATAAATCAGAGATAAATCACGTTATTCTATAGAATCGCGATAATACGAGTTGGCGATAACTACCTTCGTGGTAATTCTCAATTCACACGCAAGGTGCTTTAATTAAAATTCCATTTGCTTGTTCAGTTTAATAGGAATTTTTCACTGGCCTTCTATATTACCAGGTGGTATCTGTCTGTTCCTGTCTTATTTATTACAGAACATATGTATATACACAATTTAATTTCACTGAATAAATAATACGTTATAATATGTAGAAAGATTGTATAATTACACATGTTTAACATTACGTCTCCGATGAAAAATTTTTTACATAATTTTTCAGAATTACTCTTTTTTTTAGAATTTTTTAAAAAAATTTTATTTTTTATACAAATTAAAATAATTTTCAGAAATGCTGAAAATTTTATAAAATTTGTAGTTTAAGTTTTCTTTGAATTATTCTTTGAAAAATTTTTATAAAAATTTTTTAATATAAAGAAATTTTAAAAATATCAAATATATACATATACATATGAGAACTTTTTTTACTATTGTAACGATAATGTGATTGTTTTATAAAACATTTCCATGGAAAAGGAATTGAGTCTATGTTGATTAATTTCTAAATTGATTATAGCGACAAATTACAAATTATTCTCATATATATAGTAATTACATTAATTACACACATATTGAAATCAAGTGAACTTAGCGATTACAATTTATATCTCATTTATTTGCGATTCATTTTGAAAAAATAGAAAAAGCAAATTTTATGAAATATTAATAAATTTTATATTTAAATAAATAACTCTAAAATAGTAAACTTTTCTACTTCGAATATAATCAGGACCGAACATTTTGTTAAGAATTCTATCACATGTCAAACTGAATCACTATTTATTACTTTCTCTGAAGCACTATTGACTGTGAGTTCTGATCAAGAATTGGCATCGGGCCTTTTATCAATAACTGAGAATCACTGTAGTTTCTCACCGATACGCCGATGTGTCATTGGTAAATACATACATACCTGTAACTTGCGTGTTATCAGCGTTTAACACGCAGCTCGCTCACAATCGAGTCTTCGCTCGCGTAAGAGGAGAACTCGCGGTGGCTCCGTCTCTCTGCACTCGCCAGTTTACGGCCAGTTTTCTCGTCCATTCTCTCTCTTCATTATTCCCTATCCTCGTCTCGCTCTTTCTCGCGTTCCTATAGTTCCCCCCCAGTATTCTCTCTTTCTCGTACTCTACGTATATTATACGAACAACTCGTCAGTCAGTACAGAGACATCGTTGCTGGCACCTCGTCCGTCTCACTCCCTCCTTTTCTTCTTCCTTTTTCTCTCTCTCTCTCTCTCTCTCTTCTTCCCCGTTCTCTTAATTTCCACCCTCTCTTTAATTTTGTTTAATTTTTCTTCCATCATTAAGCAAGCCGTGTTATCTCACCTCTCCTAGAACCGGCGTCTGTTTTATTTAAACGTTCTTGTTTGCGCGCGTGTCTCCGCCTCGTTTAAAATCCTCCTTTATCCGCCTCGTACGCGAAGAAGAAAATGCCGCGGAAAATCGCGCTCCGTTTGTTAACAGTGCGACAGTGGCAATGACAGTGTGCTTGTGTTCAAGGTGTGACGACGATAAGAGCCCCTCCTTTCTTTGTGATAAAGTGTTAATCCATCGTGCAGGGATACGTAAATCGGTGAAACGGCGTCCTCGGTTTCTCCCGGCGAGCCATATGTATTCGGTAAATGCGCTTAGAAAGACATAAACAATTTGGTAGTTTTTTCTAGCGAAAATTGCAATCGCAAAAATCACAGCAGCTGCTTCCTTTCGTTCTTTCGTGACGCGAGAAGTTATCTTTTATTCCAATTCTGTTTCGCATTTCGCGCCCTCGTATGATTTGATTTTCAAATAAATCCCGAAACATGAAATACAACATAAATGTGTAAATATTGTTACCTTCGTCGGCTTTTTACGATGTGTGCATCTCGCTGCATCGAAAGAAAAAGTTTTTTGTAACATGTTAGTATAATTATGATTATTACTGCTATAATGTTAGTAATAATAACTGTAAGTTCTATTAATAAATATAGCTAACATTATATATATATGTATATATACACATAGTTGGTGAACGGAAATGATTATATTTATAGTTATTATCATATTATAATATAAAAATGGTTGCATTTACTGTAATTTAATTATAATTTATAGTTATTTTTTTAACCAACTATACAGTTGTCCCAAAAATGATTAATATAAATTATAATTAATTAATAGTAATTTCAATCATTTTTATAATAATAACAATAATTATAATTATGATCAATTATAATAAATCATTTACCAATTATATCTATATGTTTGTTGATAGAACTATACATATATATATATATATTATAGTTATTGTTATTACATACAGCCGTAATAATTATAATTATAGTAACATGTATATTATAGTTACAAATATCAAAAAGTTTTCTCTTAGTATGCACACGCGAATAGCTACTGCAACAAACAGTAGTCGACACAAAGAACTCATAAGTTTGCATTTTGCAACCTGTAAGTCATGTGCTTGCTCTTATCTTGCTTCTGTTTCATGTATTCGTACCATGTGTGTCAATAACGATGTCACTGATCTCACTACGAAGGCAGTGTGAAATGCTTATAATTGAGAATGAAAACAAAAGTGTTGATCACATCCCGAAGACTATCGCGTATCTATCAAGTAATTAATGCCAAGGTAAAATCGCAGATTGGCGTGGTATGGTGACGGTGATGATTAAATTTATAGGAATGATCGATGTAAATCTCCAACATACGACGACGTTGTACACGAACGCTCATTATCATATTAGCGAGAATTGAGCGGTGCTGGTTAATCCGTTCATACTGACAGCTTTACATCCATCGTACTATCGGAATCACGGCGTATTATATATTATACCTACTTGCGATCAGTCTATTTCTTGTTTCTTTCATCCGAGTCGATTTAGTCGGCAAATATAACACGTAACTGTATTCGTTGCAACACGCGAGCTCTTATTATTATTTTTTTTTTACTTTCCTCGATTTATGTATTATGAGTGGACATTTCTAAAATTGCTAATTGGATTTGAACGTACAGAGTGACAAAAAAGTTAGGCCACCAAGTTTTGTGTTCATTAAATTATTACTATAATTTACAAAAAAAGAAACTCTAGAGTTACTTTCATTAAAGCAAAAATATATTTAATATTTTTAAATGAAATAAGCTTTAAGAATCTATGCTTCAGGAATCTGTCGACGATAATTGCATCTTTTCGCGGATAAAGAGACGACGAGTTTGTCTTTTTCTACTTTGGAATATCTCTTTTAAGAGGAAAAATTTTTACCTTGTGAAATCGAATCCCAAATCAATACTAGTGACAACCTGAGCCGTCAACGCCGTTATCGATAAACGAATTATCAATTGATATGACTCTTACTTAAAGTTCTATAACTCTTTAGTTCTCAAAAATAAAATTACATTATATTAATTAAGCTTCTGTAATTCTTTAGTTTTCAAAATATAACTATATTAAAAAAATCCAATTCAAATCCAATCCATGTTAATTAGCTTCCTTATCAAACTTATTGATTAGCTAGGCTAAATTGAAAGTATTGCAAAATTGATTCAATTTTAGTAATTCCGAGGAAAAATTATATGAATATTACTATGGTGTAAAACTTTTGTTATTGCATATTTGTACTTGCAGAATAATTTATATTCATAGAATATCACGTGCGACATAACTATAAAACTTATCGTCGCGGGAACTTCGAGGCTGTCTGTCTGTTCAAAGAAACCGATGTACATTTGATAGTTATCTTCAGCCAACCACTCTTTACTATATGAGCACATTGCATATTCGCGTATTCGCGCTTGTTACATATTATCTGCAAGCGAATCGAGACATGCGATATATTGTCGAACAGGCGAATAGAAAAAGACAAAAAGGATATCACACTTCCGCGAACTCTTTGGAGCTGCAAATTATTAAACGTCGTATATATAAAACGCTGCAATCATTATCGGGATGTATTTAATGCAGAAACGAGCAAACCGGTTTGCAACGGTTGCGTCTTTTTACCGTCAAAACCGTACGTAGGCGGTACCGATATTTTACCCACACGTTTCCGTTGAGGATCGAACGAACAATTAATACATAATTAGTCTCGGGCGTCGGTATGTTTCTCTTGTTTTGTTTGTATAAAATGTACCGAAATACATCTGCGATGAAATCGCGCGCCATCAGATTCGTTTCTGCAAATACGAGTGCAGAATTGTGGTTTCCGTAAATACAGCTACGAACAATACTCGACTTGTGAATAGGCTGGCATAGAGAATTCTTGGCACAGAGACAAAAGGCCAGTATCCTTTTGTGATTTCTAGCTAGAATAGTATTTTTCCCATCGAGACAAATACACATCGAATGATGACTTTTAATTGTTTTAGAAAGAGACTTTTGTATTTTCTAATTAATACTTTCCTGTTGTATTGCACATATTTCTAAAATCTAAATTAATATCACTTTGATATTAAATTAATACATATGCACATGATTACTGGCATAGAAAATTCTTGAAATAGAGATAAAAACGCAGGATACTTTTGTAATTCTAACAAAAACAGTATTTTTCTCTGCCAAATTAATACGTATTGAATGATGACTGGTAATTTTTTAAATAGACCTTTGTATTTTCTAATTGAGATTTTGCTGTATTAAATATATCTTTATATTAATATGTATTATATATTAAATTAATATATGTTAATTGAATAAATAATTAGGATTATAATATGTATTAAATAAATACATATCATTACATTAATAAATACATCATATATTTTACATGATTTATGATTTTATGATACATGATTTATCACTGCAGCTAGAAAATGCTTGGCAAAGAAACGAAAAAAGGAGTATCTTTTTGCTCAATTCTAGGGAAAACAGTATTTTTCTGGGACCGAGTTCCATTGAATGACGACTTTTGAGATAGTATTGAATAATAAGAAATTAAGAAAGATTTTTCTTTGTTATATCAAATATATCTTTATATTAATAATTACGTATGTGTACAATTTAGCATAGTGTCTCAGGGAAATTCATATTTTTTAATGATAGAGAAATACAAGAGATCAAACACTATCTTTTCTCGAATCTAACAAGTGTCTTTTTCTTTCCTTATCTGCACACTAGACGCTATCTCGTTGGGCATTCCGCTATCGTATGCAAGCTGTGAGTTCCGATTTTTCCGGTCGAGAGACCGGATCGTACTTCAAACACGTGCAAACTAACTTATGACCTTTGTATTTAACCATCGTTTTGCCGATTTAATCTAACGTGAGAAGGGAATCGCTAATATGTATGTGTGTATGTGTATTATATGAATGTGTTTGTATATATGATGCTGTACTTATGTCAATGCAAAACGGTTCATTTTATAACGGAATCGGCCGTTAAATTTTATGAAACGCAAAATACATGCAAGAAGAAAATATAAATTTAAAAGACTAATAAATGCAAAATCGACCGATATATGAATAACACAACCAAAGGAGTGAAGACCTTATTCGATCAAAGCAGATCCTGCCTAATTTTTGAATTTTACAATTTCCAGTCCATGTCGTTTATTTGAAATACAGTCCTAAACAGGAATACGTATTGTAATATTAGAAATTAAATTGATAAACAATTTAATCCTTCGGCAATGTTGCATTTTAAAGGCACAGTCGATTTTTCTGGTGAATAAATTTAAATCTATGAAAAATAAATAAAATATAATTTTTGAAAGTTTCTTCTTATTGCATTTGTGTTTGTTAGACATTTTCGTATACAGGATAGTTCTTGATATCCCAGATGTATCGGACATATCGGAAAATTCTCTTATCGGATCTGTCTACATGTACGAAAAGAATTTGTTAGAATAAATATTTGGGGATCATACACTGTTATAAATATGTGAGATGATCTTCTCTAGATACTCATGTATCAGAGTCTGCGGCTCCGTGAATCGACGGTCGGCAAACTCCAAAGAGCCACTTCCGAATCGCCCACTTGGGATGCTATCTAATGACGATAATTAGATAACGAGTACTGTGATAATTAAGCGAGAGTGGCGGTACGTCAGCCAAACAAAGCACGTCTATCAATTACCGGCTTTGTTCTTCAGTTCCGTTTATTTCTGTGTCCCGACCGCGATCGACTTGTCACGTTTCATCAGCTCACCGTTCAAGTTCTCTGGCTGATGATCACGAAATGCGGATAAAGGACGATGGCGTTTCCGCATTATTACACGTTATTCTCGCATACTACTTGCCGTCGTTATCTGCTAATATATCGACTTCAGTTCTTTTGCATTAATCATATAGTCATTACACTGCGAAATTAGTTACGTCGGCAGATATAAATTAATCCTTAAAGAGATAGTGGGTATAATTGCGGACATTTTGAAGTTCCTTGAACTCTTTTCCCAAACGTTTGCATTTGCTATTGTTTTCATTATGACACAGTACAGACATTAAAATTAAATGAAAAAACTGAACTAATAAATTTTTATTATATAAAATAGCGAGTCAAATTTGTAAATATTTATGTGAAACAGTTTAAGAATGTATTATATACTTACATTTTTTAGCAAAATAAAAAAAATTATGACAAATTACATATTCTTCTATATTGTACTTGAAAAACAAAAATTTGGTAGTTTAGAACA